TAGAGCGAGAACAGTGTAGGGTTAGGGTTAGAGTTAGTGTTATTGCTATTAGTAAAATTTCACAAGGAACATTTTTAATTAGGCCGCAGAAGGGGTTTCTTCAGTTTATTTGTAAAAAATGGGTTCGCTTCGTTTGTTTACGTTACACCTGATCTTGAAATTTGATTGGACAAAAATCACGGGAGGGGAAAATTTTTGTGGGTGCGCTAAGGGGGTAATTACCCAAGAACGCAACGTTTCACTAACTCTAATAAAAATCACAAAAAGCCATCCAAATTCAAAAGAACGTTCATATTTACTATGCGAAATAATGCAAAAATAAACACCAAGAATTTCACTTAAAAGCGAATATTTTATTTTTTTATTTATTACTATACTATATAGCTATATATAAGTATATAGAAATGTTGAAAATAGACAATTCTCGTGACGTTGCGTGTAAGTTTTAATCTTGAAGAATATAATATATCGCTTAATATGTTATCTTAATAATAATTAGCTTAATACTTACTGTTTTGTTTATATATTGCGTATAATACTAATTATACGTATAATAGAGTCAAATTGATGGGTAAGCAGGCATCATTATCGTTATGGTTTGGACTAAGCATTAGATTGATAGATACAGTATATACAAGTAGTGGTGGTGATTATATAAACTAAGGATCATATTCGTCTTTAGTAAAGGTCGTGATGACTGAAAATAGAATAGAATTACCATTTAAAATATAATAAATAATGAGTAAAATTTTCGTTAATTATTAATAATAATTTTAATTTGCTCGTAAAATAATTTTTGATCGACACTGTGTTCTGAGAATTGTTGATAGAATTGATGACCAATGGTAGGTGGTTACTGGATTTTTCTAGTTAAAATTTTTCTATCACATGTATATATGTTGTAAGTGGAGATGGGATTTAAAAGAGGAATCGGAATTTCTTAGTTAAAATAAGGTTAGAGTATAAGTTTACATTCTAAATTCTAATCTAACTAAAGAATTCGAAATCCACTTAAATTTTGTTTTACTTATAACATATATTCCAATATTCGATGTGTCTAAGATCAAAATCACGAAAATTCGCGAGCAACGCTCGATTTACTCGTTATTAGATCCTTAAGTCATGCGATTAGGGAGGATCTTGAAAATTTGGATTTATTTACAGGATTAGAAATTTACATAAATAAAAGATCAAAAATTTTCCAGGTCCCTGATTTAAGGTGTGCAATTGACATAGGTGGGTCACTTATAATTGATTTTTTTTATGGGTATTAATTTTTATCTATTTATGTACATGGTTAAAAGTTTTTTGTGAAAATAACTACGAAGTATACCACAACTTTTTTTCTTTTCCGAATCCTCCATTATAACGAAATTCGAGGTGAATTCTCTAATCTGTAAGCTATTATAATAATTGTAAACCATTTTTGGTTAAAAAAATTTGGTGAATTTATAAGTCGATGCAGATCAACAATTTCATTATACATATTAAAAAAATAGAATATAATTTGACTTGTTAATTAGCTAAAATTTAACTTAACCTCATGAAAAAAATTTTACAATTAATAACCCCATCCAATAGGTACCACTTATGAGTAATGCAAGTAATGTATCAGAAAGAAGCTCAAATATCCGTGATTTCTTTGAGTATCAGCTAAGTCTTGAATTGTCAGAATCTTAAGCATTACAAATAAGAAAAATTCATGAGAATTTAAGAATAATTGTTTTTATTGAAATACTTTATAAAGTCCAGTGGAATTTTAGATTTCTGTCAATAACACCGTATTACGGTTTATGTTTTATAGCTATTTAAAGACCTTAATTAAAATATTGTATCACTTCTTATTGATCTAAATCTATTACTTGAGTACATCGCTTACGCACTATCTCTAATGACATAAAGTATATTGGTGTTACACGGTGAAAGTATAACCCAATATGTCTACAAAAAAAATAACTTTCTGTTATGATCAAAAGCTTATGCGTGAATTATTTTCATCATAAGAAATCAATCAGCGATTTAGAAAAAATAAAGTCAACCGGCCAAGCCGAAAATTAGGTTTAGCCAATGTTTTCATTATCGGCCAGGATCATTAATCATTGATTGATAACATGAGCAAAATGACCAGGAATGCGTTGAAGGCACCTTTCGCAATCTGTTCTACGTCCCATTGTATAAACTACACAAGGTTTATTTGTTTGTCTATGATGATGACGTTGCGCTCGTGTGGTGTTCAAAGACAATTGTGCGATCGTCTCATGTGGTTGATTCTGAATTAAGGTAGTATGAAGAGATCATTTATTCAAATAAAGATTTTTTTATTGCAAAAAAAACACGCGAATTTTATTACCATTTCAACATCCAAATTTTCATCAAATTGACGTGCTATTTTCTAAAAATAAAGTACAAAAATATAGTTATTATGAATTTACTTATCATGTCCAACCAAAAAAAATCAATCGCTTATCAACGAAATGTAATAATACATACCTGCGCTTGGTCACTTTTGTTCATACTATTACTCCGAGGCCTCTTTCGTCCAGTATTACTTGGTGGAATAGCAGGTGTTGAATTAAGGCTTCCAAAATGAATCGCCGAATGATTAAAATTAGCTATGCTTATAGAGTAATCCATATCTACTAAAACTAATAGTTTCCTTAAGGTTTTTCGCTTTTTTAGAAAAAAAAGGTAATATTGGTAAACAGGGTCTAGGAACCGAGCTCGTTTTATATTCGATATTCACAAAGCGTGTATTACCATTTTAGTCATTTTAGTCTAATAGGTTGTAACACGTGCCTCTCATTTAGAGTATCACCTGAGAGTACTTTTCGTTGGTCGAGCGCGTAATTAATAATTATCACGTGGATAACGAACCGCCAAGGTTATAAAGTTGAGTTGTAGGTCATTGATTATCTTTTTAAAATTTCTCTTGATAATCAACGAAATTTGTCACATATAAAGATCGTTAATTTAATTTTTTTTTTTTTTAGGTTTCCATTGGCCAATATTCTAATAGTCTAATCAGAGCTGAAAATACCTATTCATTTTCCCGACTATTCAATTATTTGCTTCTTTTTTAATGTATCAAAAAAGACATTTGAGACAATGAGCTGCAGGCCGGGAAATGGAATGTTCCAATATTACATATTAAAGATATTAAAGGCAGTTTAATGTATCTAATGTTTCTTTTTATTCCCTTTTATACCAACAATACTATATCAGATATTAGATACGTACCTGGTACTTATCTATTATGTACATACGTGCTACAGTACAAGTCAGAGTCCTCCAGGGCGGTCATCACTTTTGCTGTGACGCAATCATGGCGCAGTCGGCCAAAATTCTACTAATGAAACCACAGCCGCCCCATTAAGTAAAATATTCCCGAACCAATTTTGCTGTGAAAGAGGCCAAATTTTTCTTATTGAATTCAAAAAGATCTCAAAAATTTTACAAATAATTTCGGCCAATTATAATTTTGAAGATCATCGGCCTAAATTAAGTTAATGCAGGCCAACTGCCTGCAAGTCATTTAAAGACGACAATAAAATGGTTTTAAAAGCTACGTAATAACTCATGATACAAAAATAATATAAAAAAGTCATTTTTTTGTAGCTAACTTTATTACAAAATAGCGGCCTTTTTTTATATTATTGGAGTTTAAAAATATTGTATTTTTATATAATAAACGACTCAAAATGGAACATATCACAAAAAAATTAATATTTTTTATTAATATTTATACGTAACTAGGGAGTGTTCTAGACAATAATAAAACATATAACCCACTCCGGAGACCTCCAGAAGCGGTTTATATTTTATTACAACCTTATCATTTATAAAACAAATAAGATACCTGATACGTCTTTTTTGTCAAACAACCAATCAAATTACAGAAAATTTAGCCAATCAAAATTCAGTAAATTAAAAAATCAAGAATTTAAAATTTTTAAATTAATTTCTTAGTCCATATAGGATTTTATATAAATTACGAAAGTATATATAAATTATTATGATTTTTATATAAGAATGAAATCTTTTTACAATTATAAAAATTTTATACAGTATACAAATATTTTATAATTTTATTTATATTACAGTATAAAAAAGTATACGTATATTCTCTACGTATACGTATACATTTTTAATTTTTTTAATTAGGAAATTTTAAGTATACGTATTATATACGTAGTATATATAATAAAAAAGAAAATCATTAGCTATGGGGAAAAAAAAATGTCATACGTATAATTATAATAAAATCTAATTAGAGATTGTACGTACGTACTCGGGTAGTATTAAGTTATGTGATACATTATAGTAATTTATCCGAATAACCCAGGTAATTTAATAATATCCGAGTAGTTTTCTCACGGGTACAATCTCTAAATTTAAAATAAAATTGTGAATTAGCAATTAAATTTCATTTCTATTCTTAAGTGACATGTAATATACCGGGTGGGTGAAAAGTCTCTATACAGGTCCCTTTTTTTTTTTAATCACTAAAATAGTAATCATTGCAATATTATATATAAATTATAAATCTTGTGGAGATAGTAAAAAAAGTGACCTGTATAGAGACTTTTCACCCACCCGGTAGTATTTAGGAAGTCATAAACGCAAGAATTTATATATATTTATATTTAATTATTAGGATTATCAAAGTTTAGTCGTAACACATTTTTCAAATAATGGAGACTGTAATATAAAATCAATTAGCAGTGTAAAGAAAACAGTGTAGTGATTCGAAAGAAAGAACCCCTCGTCAATTACCTTTAGATATTAAATTTATATCATTGTCTATATTTGGTAACGGAAGATTTTCACTTTATTGGCAAACATATACGTATATGCATTATTAATGAAATCAAGTGCGCAAAGAGTCCGATGACTACGTACTAGATTCCACACGGAGTATATATTTTTTATAGTCCCATCCGTTTTTGGTTACAATTTTTTTCGCAGTGTTTATGAAAAAAAAACTTAATCATTGTGTCATATTGTTGAAAATAAGAAATGTATGTAATGTGTATTTTAAAAGAAAGCATTCAATATTTGTATATAATATTTATAATTAACGTTAAAAAGGTTTTATTACTTAAGAGTTACGCATCAGAATCATCTAGATTCAGTCATGATCAGCATTTTAAGAGAATGCTTTTTTGGGCCAATTCTTATGTGTACGTGACGTAATACTATACAAACTGTACAATGGGAATTTTTTCGTATTTTCCGCCGATTAATATTGTTTTTAATAACCGGTGATTACTTCTGAATGTGTATGATGATAGTCGTGGATATGTCGATTAATTATTTCCTTGTTACAATACAAACCTCATTGACATAACAACTTTCAACAAGGATAAATGGTAAAATTTCAGGCTATGCTGATAAAAAAAAAATAAACAAGTTTAAGTTCCGGGTTTCGTAATATATTTACATAAACCCGATCATTTTATTCAAATTACTAGATTACATCCTTTTTTGGTGGTTGTTAAGGAATTTTTAGTTGTTTTCGGCAATTTTGGTTTATTTAATCCTGTAACTAGTCATGTAAATGACCATTGTACTTTTTTTTTTTCCCTCCTTATTATAACCAGTCTGAATTATATATAATTAAAAAAAAAAAAAAAAAACACAAGTCCATAAATTGAAAAAAGTTCCAATCAAATGGAAATGTAACTAAAATTAAATATATAATTCAATCACTCTAAAAAAAAACAAATTAGTAAATCACTGCTATATTATGCCATAATTGTCCTCTTGCAATGTACCAATAGAAACTGATCTTTTGTTTCGTCTAGATTTATGTTTTTTTCCTAAAAGAGATGTCTTTTCATCAGCATTATGATTGTCTTCTTCTTCCTGTATCATCTCTTGAAACTTCATAATTTCTCGAGAAGAATTTCCAATATTCTGACATACATTAGGACTGCTTGTTTCAGAAAAACCATCAAGATCTCTATATCTCGTAAAAGTTTCTTCACCTTCGTATAGTTCTGTTAATCCTTCTATGTCTTGTCCGTATAACATTCTACTTTCTTCTCCTGTTAATAATCCTTCTTCGGGAGCGACGTTACGTCTCCAAGATAATACAAGAACGCCACATAATAATATGCATATACCTAATATTACCAATAATATCTGATACCATGCTAATTCATCCCATTGATCATAATATACAAGACCATTAAATATTGACGAAGCATTATACGTACAGAAGGAAAGGGGTACTAAAATGACTGTATCACACATTCTTAAACCTTTGTTAAGATAATAAAGCTAATTTTGATCATTTTTTGTAAAATTTTATAAATAAAATAAAATAAAATAATAATTTCAAATAATTTAATTACGTAAATATTATGATTAAAAATTATGTTATTAAAATTATTATTAATGATTATTAAGTAAAAAAGTAAAAAATTCAAATTAAATTTCAAAATGAAAATTAAATTTAAATTTTACCTGTAATAAGGCAGTGACAACTAGTGCTATTACAATAATCCAACTCAACGGTCGATCAAATTGATTTCGACAGTTAATAGTTAAAAGTAGTAACTCTATACCACTCTTTGCAAATAACAAACTTTGACTAGATATCATGCCTCCAACCATACCGTACGTTATTCCAAGCATTGTTTGAAATTTTTTCCAATGCCATCCTAAAATAAATTCTCTATCATTTCGATTCGATCTATTTAGTAAATATTCTCCATATTTGGCAGCGATAAGAACTACTATGAGGATAAACTCAATAGTTGAGAAATATGCAATAAATGCCGGGCGTTTATATAATTCTATTAAGTCATTAAGAGAATGGTTTTGTGCTTTGACAACACCAAAGAAAGCAATCATTACCGCGCCAATCAGAATAAAAAATGTCCCTAAAAAAAATATATTTAGTTAAATTTAATCGAAAAAAAAAAAATTTTCAACTATGAACGAATGGAAAAGAAACAAACCTATTACTGATTGTCTTGAAAAGACATCCCCCAATAATAATTGAGCAAAAAATGCATTAAATATTAAAGTTACTGCACCCAAAGGTGCTAATATGATAATAGGAAGATACCCAATAGAGAATATACTTCCAATGATATTGGAGATTAGGTAGGTGTCAAACCCTAGGTGCCATAACGGTCTTCTGCATGCAGATCGCCGTAGCTCTTTAGGATATATATTTTCGTTTAAAACGTGAGATTTTCTCTGTATAGTAAGTCCAAGGGATTGAATAAATGAGGTAGAGACGGCTATTGTAATACCGATAAGAAGATTTATTTGCTTTGGTTCAACCGTTGTTTCATTAGTAGTTGAACAATCCGTCATTGTTTTTGAAAGAGAAGTATTCTCAATACATAAAGTTTATGAATCGCACGCACGCACTGCGTAGTGATTTGTGAATAGTTTTGTTTCAGAAATATTGCTATTATGTCTTATATCTTATTATGTCTTAGAAATAATATATAATAAAAAATTATTAACTATATAATAAAAGGATAATATATAAAATTTATAAAATTTTCAAAGGTGATCAAATATAAAAAATTACTGGCCACACTGAAAAAAATATATATATGTAAAATAGTATAAAGAAAATCAAAGAGCTTAAACCTCTAGAAGAGAGCTCATACTGTACTTCAAACAATTATATCGGAATTTGGAACTACACAACTCGATGTTTTGGGAAAAAGCGAATCGGGAGACGGCAATATTTATAACATCTGATATCCAAAATTGAAGTGGTGATATCATGACAAAGTGAGAAATTGAATAGGTTACACCTTTGCGATTCGGGGAAAGATTTCTCCAAAGACCGGTTTTATTACAATGACTAACACAAGTCACGTTATTTACGCAGGTATCGGTACGGGCGTGCCGTACATTCCTGATACGTATGTATCAAGTACGTACTTGGTTTTGTTAACAGGTAGCATTGATAACCGTATAATGAACCAGAG